CAGATGTGGCAGTGGAAGGTGTCAAAGCAGTTTGGAGAGAAAAACAAAGTAAAGAACAAAAAAAAGAGAAAATGATTAATCGATTATTAAATTAGTCATCGATTATTTTAATAATCGATTAGTCGTTGATTAATCGATTAATCGTGGCAGCCCTAATTAAGTACACATTCTTGTTCGCGATGCACTCTCACTATCACCAGCAAGAAGAGTATGACTAAAGCCAGAAGAGACCGAGGACTTAGCAGCCCCATTTTCTCTTCTAATTTATGTTTTGCCCCTTTCTCATTGTTTGTGTGAAAAATTTGACTAAAGTGTATTTTTCTAAACTGAGTGTTGTGCTCTTGGCTCGTGACCTCTGGGGAAAAAAGGCAATTTTATAGACACTAGGCAGAGGATTTTAATTACATTGACATGAATGTTAAATGTGGACTGAATGGGTTTCAGTAGCAACATCTCGCCTTGACATCTAGGTCTTGACATTAACGTGTGCATTATTTTCTTTTTGTTAAAATATCAGAGCAGGTGATACAAACAGCCTCACGTGTGTGTAAAATGTTAAAGGGTGTAGATGACCTCTCTCTAGTGTAAGTTTTCCTTTTGGTAAAAAACAATGCTAAAGTTTTTTTCACTTCACAGCAGATTTTTTTAATTTTATTTTTTTGTATTATTGTCATTCTTTGGGGTGAAAGAGCTTAAGAGAAGTGGAAAGTCTTTGAAAGTGGCAGAATCAGTAGCATATTAGCTTTAGCCTCAAACCATCTGTTTGTGAACAACACCCCTAACACACACACACACACACACAGACTCCTGCCATCAACAAATATTCAGAAGTTCATTGTAAACTCCCCTAGACCCCCTGCAACCCAGTTGACCTCTGCCTCCATCCCCCCGCAGTCTAAAATCACCCCACCCGACCCTCTCGACTCCCCCTCGTCCACCCACCCATCTCCCCCAACAAGCTTCCTGGCAGCGGACAGCACCACCAATCATCACTCGGTTCCTATGACGACGTCCCCCAGCAACAGTCATTACTATATCATAGCAGTAGCGGAGGATGTGGGGAGGATGGGGGGAGGGGGTTGGCCGAATGGGGGGAGTAAAAGAAAAGAGAACACACACAGCTGCCCTTCAGCAACGTAGCATTGCACCAGCTGCTCCGGTCGCTGCTCCATCCATGTTCACAGGCACAAAAACATGTTGTGCCTCTGAGATTCTGCCTTTGTCTCCTTGTTCATTCATACATCTGTGGCCTTGAAGTGTTTCCTTCATCCCCTGTCCTTAGATGCTTTGACTGTACTGTTCATCTGTCAGCTTGTCCATCTGTTAGCCTCGGCTGCAACAGATTGTTAATGTGCAACTTTTGATACCAAGTCTTGCATGAGAAACATTTTTTTCTAACAGGTTTGCCATTGATTTTCTGGTGGCAGCAGATTTAAAAAGGCAAAAATGCTACTGAGCTGCTGCATGTTAAAAGTAGAGATGAAAGAAATACAGTAAGTGTAGAACTAATACCAAATGTTTAAATTGTTAATCTATTTAAGTTGTTTATTGATTCTTAAAAACTCTAAAAAATAAAAATACAATTGGAGGTTTTATTCACGTTTATTGTTCATTTGTGCCATCATGTGAAGTAGCAAAAATACCCAGATTACAAATGTTCCACCTGTGGGTAAAAGCGTTTGGTTTCTATAGCTGTGTCTGAAGGTTAGGGGAGTCATTCTGCAACTAGAGAGTTGACGGTTTGATCCTCCATTCCAGCTGTCTCAGTTGTTGTGTCCTTGGGCAAGACACTCCACCCGCCTTGCCTACTGATGGTGGTCAGAGGGTCCGGTGGTGCCGGTGCATGGCAGCCCTGCCTCTCAGTGTGCCCCAGGGCAGCTGTGGCTACAGTGTAGCTTAGCACCATCAGTTTGAATGTATGTGTGACTGGGTGAATGACTGTAACTAAAGTGCTTTGGGGGTCCGAGTGGGCTTGCTAAAGCGCTATTTTCAGACCATTTACCATTTAAATGTTTTCAGACATTTCCAGAGGCTACCGGGGGCCGTTTATTTAAAACCAGGGTGTCAGACGGCTTCCTCTGGTTCTTACCTTTAGCATGACACCTTAAATCAAATAAAAAATGTCAAAAGGCTTTTAAGGAATTTCAGGCCAACTGATCAAAAGTATGTACACCTCATTTGTTTCAAACAAAACCATTGTGACAATAAACATTTGCCTAAAACTAAAATAAAATAAAATGTGTTAGTGCTTCCTTGGCCAAAAAGGAGGCATTTATTTGAATACATTGTTTTTAAATGCTTTTGCTGTTTTCTGATCTGGAGTATTTCATGCCAGGATAAACTGGCATCAGCAATGACCTCAGAGAAGCTGTTGTTGCTGCCCATTGACCTGGGAAAGGGTCAAGGGTCATTTCCAAACTTTTTGGAGTCCATCATTCTACATAGAGAACAATACATGCATTTCAAACAGCTGCCATTCTTGCCAGGAGTGGACATCCTAGCAAATTCACCCAAAGGTCAGACCATGTAATGCTTAGCGAAATCAGCTTAATTAGCAGCTTAAAGGTCAAAGTCACTTAGGACCGTTGGAAAAAAAGCAAACAAGATTGGTTAGTATGGAAAACTAATATACATAATTTATCTTCCTGCTGCCCTTGGATCAAAATAAACTAACCCTAAAACCAAGGCCTTGTGGGTCATTTTAACCAAACACAGCATATCAGCACAAATGTATTCAGCACTGTGCTGGTGCCATCCTGATGGTTTGGACTCCTTGCAGTCATTGAGTTGACCAAAATCTTCTCTGTAGACCCAAGGATTTTAGCGTCAAATGTGAGGCGACAGCTAAAGCTTGGACCAAACTGGGTCATGATGGACAATGATCCCAAACAGCTAATCTACAACAAAACAACTCCATAAATAAATATATAAAATCAAGGCAATGCAATGGTTCAGTCCAAGTCCAGAGTTTCCACCTGACTGAAATGCTGAAAAACCTTGATGAATTGAAACAGTCTTTTAAAATATATTAGGCACATAATGCCCTATAATATTAGAGATTGATCAGATCAAACAAAACCAAGTGCTTTTGCTTATAAATGTGGTTCAGCCAGTTGTTGCATTACATATTGGACTTGTTTAATGTTTAGTTTATTGTGTCCTTGAGTTGTATTATGATTGTATCATAAACAAAAATAGTTGAAATCATGGCTTTTGTTTTCTATATTTTGAAGTTTCAGAGGTGCAACATTAAGATCTATTTATGCTCAGTTTTTATGTCACAATGGTTTTTCAGGCTGTGGAATGGGCTCATTACAGCCACATGTAAACGCTGGCGGAGGTCAGATGTACCAGCAGCAGATCCACCAGGGGATGTCCTCACACCCGTCTTATCAAGGGCAGCAGCACTTCTCTGAAAACCCACCTTACAAAGATGGAAACACTGCTGGCTCAATGGCCTGCCTCTACCAGAACTACCAGGTAGACTCTTGAGTTTATTTTAATTACTGAAGCACTTCAGATTGTTTATTATTACGGATAAATCATGCTTGTTTGTGTCCATAGCAAGGGATGATGTCGCACCCACAGTTTGGCGAGGAGCAACAGTCCCAAAGTGAAGGACTTCCAGTAGGACCACCTGGATCTGACAGGGGCCCCAACGGAGGGCCAGAGGTGGTGGATGCCATCTACAGAGCTGTGGTGGATGCTGCCAGTAAAGGCATGCATGTTACCATCACCACCACCGTGAGTGGGACCACACAGGCAAGTCCAGTGCCCGCCCTCAGCGCCATGAGTGCCTTCACTGCCACCCTTGGGGAACCCGTCAACCTCCCCCAAGCAGTCAGTGCAGTTCTGCATGGGCACCAGGAAGGAGAGGCCAGACCACGGCAAATGAGGCCAGGACGGGGACAGAAGACCATGGATCCAGGAAAGAGCACTCCAGATGGTCCTGAGGCCAACGACTACTTTCGGTCCCCTGGTCGAGGAACTCCAAGAGGGCAGTGGGATGGGGAGACACAACATGGGGGAGGATTCGACACACAGAGCAACAACAACGCCTGGGGTGGGGAGGAGTTTCTGGAGTGCTCTACCCAGGTAAGAAGTAGTCCCTGCATGGAAAGACCTGCCAGTCTGGCCCCTGCCCCACCTTGTTCCACTGAGGGCTCCAACAACCACAGCCTGTCCGTGGCCCACGATAAGACCTACCTGGACGATGGTTACCGCTTCAACAACTGCAGCCGGACACCCGCCAACTACAAGGAGCGTCTGGAGCAAACAGTGGAGCGTTGCGCCCATATCAACGGAGTCACCCCCCACTTCAACAGCCGGGGCTTTGGAGAAGTCCTAGGCCCCCCACGGCAGGAGCTAACCGGAGACGACCAGTCTCCCAGTTCCTCCACCAGCCTGGAAGGGCCTCTGGCCACTCCCAAAGACTACAGCCACTACAACGGTCATTTCAACGGCATGGCCCCTAGCCCCTCTGACACGAAGAGCCTCAGCAGCGAGGAAGACCTGCGGCAGCCAGACTCCCCCTCATCAGAGCTGCTCCACTACCGCTCAAGAACCTTCAATATGGGGGAGCTGGTCTGGGGCCAGCTGAAGGGCTTTCCACCCTGGCCCGCCAAGCTGGCTGGGGATGAACAGGTGCACTGTGCTGCTGTGCAACTGAGAGAGCAGGCTAAGGTGAGACACCGGTCTGTCGTTACTGTCACAGTAAATAAAATGACAACGTGATGGACTGGATCGAACTAATCAACTGTAAATTATTGATAAAAAATGTCTTTACACATTGTCTTGCCAATAAGGATGAGTTCAAAGTCTGCTTTACTTTCTAACATTTTGTCCTGAACATTTATCTGGTCTTTCTGCAGGTAGAGCCTGAAAAATTAAAAACACTAACACACGACTTGGAGGCATTGGACCGAGCCGCCAAAAGAGGCCTGAAGTAAGAGTATACTGTTGATGAATGTCATGTAAAGTGTCACTGAATCAAATTTAGTGTAAATATTTTAACTTCTTGTCCAACAGACAGGGGAAACTGAATAATAATCCCCTAAAAGCTGCTCTCCACGAGGCCATGAGTGAGCTTGATAAGATGTCGGGTGCAGTGAGTATTTGCTTCTTTCTCATCTACTAAATGTTTCCCTAAATATCTTTCTAAACTTTGACTGTTGAGGAGTAGTTGGTCACAAAATTGCAAAAAAGTGCACTTTTCTTTTTTAAATCACACTGAATGACAAGTTTGGACAAGTTTATACATCATTTATCCATATTTCTGTATTTATTTTTAAAGATAATCTGGGACAGTTTTGGGATCAGTGCTGAGGGGAAAATGTCTCACCTTTTCAAAACTCCAACTTTCATATGGCAATGTGTTTAAGTAATACTACACAGTTTAAAGTAAACTGCTGTGAATTTTTTTTTTAATTTTACAGTTATTTTTGACATTTAAATAAACAAAAAGCTTGTCTGGCTGCCAGTTGAAAGAAAAGTGTCACTTTTCAGAGCACATATAAAGCAGTAGTTCATTTTGTAAAATACCATAGAATAAGTATAGCATAAGTAAGTTTAGCATTATGCTAACTTTGGTGGAACATTGACATATTTTAATATTTTTATGTTGATGTAGTGGAAACATCTGGTGTAGGACAACCAAACTCATCAGGTGAATAAAAGAAAACATCTAGGGCATTGTGAAATATGTATAAATATATGTTGTATTTAGTTAAAGTATTTCTGCATGTGTAATGTGAAACCCCCCCCCCCCCCATTTATGAGCTTAAAAAGCATTAAATAAATCTGTGAATAATGCTACCCCTAGAGAAGTTATGTTTTATTCCCCTTGACACTACGAAAAAACATTTAAATTTATCGTTTTAGTACATTAGCAAAAAATCTGTCTATTTACTCCAGTATAAATGTTAAACGACCCCACAAATTTATGAAGGATTTTTGAGGTAATTTCTTTAACATTTTTTTCACAACTATTGATCCTACCTCAGAGCAGCTCTCTTCAGTAACTTGTAGGTCAAATGAAGGGAAAAAAACCAATACGTGCATTCATACAATGTTTTATTTGAAATAGTGATTTAAATTATTCACAACTGTAATGAAAAAATAAAAAAATGTCCACTTTCCACCTGTTAAATGGGGCTATGGAGCAGAGCCCAAAATCATAATTTTAGTTTCTAAGGTAAACAGTTGTTGCTATGTGACATCACAAATAACAAACAATCTGACTTCTAACATCTGATACTGAATCGGATTTTGCTGTGAAACTAAAGATAAAAACCATCCAACTGTTACCGATATGAACAGTCACACAGAGTGGAGAAACCACTGCTCAGACAGGAAGATCTGAAGAAAATAAGGATCAAATGCTAACATTAGTATATCTGTTGCTGTGGATTCTCTGTCATCACATGATGGTAAATTAAGAAACAAAAACAAAACAACTGGACTTCTGTTCTGCAGCTGACAACGTGTGGAGTTTCAAGATTTAAACTGCACAAAGTTGGGATGATTATTACGTATCATCTGCTCAGCCCGATCTCAGGAAGTGGACGGATGTAATGTGACATGAGCGTTAAACTGAGGTTGCGTTGAAAACCGTCAGATATGTATACCATGTATGGAAATGACGTACATCTGATTTTCTTTTGGGTGAAAATATTTGTGCCCCATCCTGAAGAGAGCTTCAATGGAGAGTCTCTCCAGTTAACTGGACTGGAGAGACTCTTGGATTCTGACCAAGCACTTAAACGAGCTGCTACTAGCCTGTTAGCTGTAGTTGGCTCTCCCCTACTGCAGCCCTGTTCGAGACACTCAGTGTATCTTAACATACAAACATACATACACTCACCGGCCACTTTATTAGGTACACCACGCTAGTAACGGGTTGGACCCCCTTTTGCCTTCAGAAC